TCGAATAACTCACACCATGGTGAAACACACACTTTTACATCGAAACCCTAAATTGTACGAGGATTTTTACTGTAACCAGTACGGTGATGGTTTACCCGTTTTTATCGGTGGACGAAATCAGAGAGGACACGGTATTGGTAGTTTCTTTAGTGGTCTAGGTCGAATGGTCCTCCCTTGGATAAAGACGGGAGGTAAGGCTTTACTCAGAGAAGGTGTTAGTACCGGGTTGCAAGTTGCAAACGACGCATTAGCGGGAAGAGACGTTGGAGAATCGTTTAAAGAACACGCCAAGGAAGCCGGACATCGTTTATTGCAAGGTGCCGTTGATCACCTAGGACAAAACCAATCAGGAAGCGGGTTGAGAAGAAAGCGGGGGTTCTCGAGACCACCGGGTGAACCCTTTGAACAACAGATAAAACTAACACGCCGACCAAACCACAAACATTCGAAGACGTGTGTTAAGAAGAAGCATCCCAAGTATTCAGATATATTTGCTTAACCATGGCTCTTATTCACCCGAGTTCCTGTGAGTGCTTACATTCTGGATTGGATTTATTTAGTACACCCCCGACACAAACTGCCGTCGAGGAGGGTCAATTTGTTGAAATACATCCCCTGGCGTCCTTGGCACAAGGTGCACCTATAGAATTTGCCATTTCTGGCAACAGTGAAGACTATCTCGATTTGTTTAATACTTATTTACACGTGCGCGCTAAAGTAACCTTAGCGAATGGTGATTCAATACCAGCGGACGTTGATGTCGCACCCGTCAATTATTTTTTGCACAGTTTATTTTCACAAGTGGATATTTCTCTAAACGATACGCTAATTACTGCTAGTGAGAACACCTATCCGTATCGCGCCTATCTGGAAGCTACGTTAAATCACGGGGAAGAGGCCAAGAATGGGTCTCTATCGGCCGCTCTTTATGCGAGGGACTTTGCCTGTTATTTCGAGGAATTCAAAGATGACAATAATGAAGGGTATAGGATTCGCCGCACCACCGCTGCTGAAAGTCATGAGATCGATATGATGGGACGTATACACTCTGACATTTTCGCTCAAGATCGGTATATGCTGAATGGTGTTGACATTAAAATTAAACTTACACCCGCAAAAGACAGTTTCACTCTCTTGACAGCAGAACCAAACAAGTGATATAAAGCGGTTATAACGTACGCAACATTGGTGGTTAGAAAAGCCAGACTTAATCCCGCCATTTCTATCGCACACGAAAAGGCTTTAACGACAACAAATGCAAAATACCCTTTTAAACGCGTTGTAATAAAAACCTTTGCTATACCGAAAGGTATGTTAAGTCACAACCAAGACAATTTGTATATGAGTCAAACACCGACCCGTTTAGTGATCGGTCTAGTCGCCTCTACCGCCTTTAATGGAAGTTACACGAAAAACCCCTTCAATTTTCAACATTTTCACTTGACGTATTTAAATGTAAGCGTTGATGGTCGCTCGTTATCGGGAAAACCACTGGTCATGGACTTTGATAAGAAACAAGCCATTAGAGCGTTTTTCAATAGTAACCTCGCTCTTGGTATGGTTGGAAAAGATGCTGGTAATGGGATAGATTATAAAAACTTTAAGAACGGGTATACCCTGTTTGCTTTTGATTTAAGCCCTAGTCTTTTGGATGGTGAACAATTTGAATTGGCTAAATCCGGACCTGTTTCTATTGAACTTAAATTTTCACAAGTTACAGCTGACCCGATTCAAGTTATTGTGTATGCTGAACTTGATTCGGTGTTAGAAATTTCGAAAACGAGGCAAGTGCTGACAGATTACACCGCCTAACTTGACCTATAAAAGAAAATGAACACAAGAGAACTACAAAGTATACTGGCCGCGGACTTATTTGTGCAACGCACAACTCTCTTTGCCGTTTTAGCGTGCGATCAGTTACCCGCGCGTCTCGATAGAACAAAGCAAGCGGCATTCATTATCAATCTAGATTCGTCCTCGGAGGCAGGGAGTCATTGGGTTGGTCTATTTTTCAACGGCCTATCGCAATTTACTTATTTCGATAGTTTTGGCTTACCACCTCGGGAGCCGGCCATTTTGTCTTTTATAAAAAATAATTCAAACAGACCACTCGTTTACAATTCAAGAGTGTTACAAGATATTCTAACCAACAGTTGTGGGCTATATGCAGCCTATTTTGTTTTGAAGAAAGCTCGAGGTGCAAATTTAAAAGTTATATTACAACCCTTTTCGGCGTCAGCGAGTCGTCAATATATTAACGATCGTATTATAACACGTTTAACACTTCAAATTATTGGAACTAATTATAAAAGATTATTTCAAGATGTCTAATGAAGATTGGATATTTGTGGCCAGGAGTAACAATAAAGTGACGGAAATACGAACGATGAATCACACCGGATTTAAATTGGCGATTGTTAGCCAATTCATGAACAAAAACACTTTAAATCTTAGATAGCTTATAGATGGGACCGATCTTAATTTTCCTACAAATTCTGGTGTTAGTATGAGTCGCGTCTGCTTTGAGCGCCTGTTGAGTTTACAGGATGAAATTTTAAAAGCCTTTGATGAATTGGAAAAACGTTAATAAACAAATAAAATATAAGAAGACTTTTGTTCTAATTTAGTGTGTGTGTGTGTGTGTGTATATACGTGTAGCATACGCGTACTAGAAAACCAACAAGGTAATGTCCGGTTGCTCAACCTAATTACACCACCAGCTGTCGCACAACAGCTGTTGCACAGCTGTCAACCGAGCGGGGGAAACTCGGTGAAGCATAACAAAAATTTAATTAGGTGTGATGGGCCAGCGGCTGCGATCAATACATTCCCATTAAAACGGGCAGCGGTGAGAAAACTTCGCGGGCGGGTCGATACGTAACAGCTGTGGCTGATCGTTATCTTTAATGGATGTTCTATTTTTGTAACGTTCGTTGTGTTGGAGAATGGTCCCTATACAAAGACTGTTCTAGTACATGCTAGTGTTAGTCTTTTATTTAAAACATACATACATTCAAATAAATAAACAACATTAAACAACAAAGTAAACAAATAATCAAATTACGTAACTCGTTAATAAAAATTACACAATATAAACAAAGTAATTAAATCAAACAACATGTAAACAAACAAATTAAACAATTTAAATCAAACAAATAATCAAATTACGTAACTAGTTAATAAAAATTAAACTAATTATAAAATAAAATTTAAAATTTAAAAATTTAAAAAAAATTAAAAAATCAAATGACGTAACTAGTTAATAATAATTAATCTAATTATAAAATAAAATTAAAAATTTAAAAATTAAAACAATTAAAATCCAATTACGTAACTAGTTAATAATAATTAAACTAATTAAAAATTAAAATTAATTAAAAATAAACAAACAAAATACAAACAAAGTAATTAAAATCAATTAAATTTAAAATTAAAATTTAAAATTTAAAAATTTAATAAATTAAAATCAAATCAATTAAATCAAACTAAAATTAATTAAAATTTAAAAAACAAAATAAAAATAATTAAAAAAAAAATTAAAATCAAACAAATACAAAACAAAATAAATAAAAATCAAATTAATTAAAGTTATTAAAAATAAACAAACAAAACACAAACAAAGTAATTAAAATCAAATTAATTTAAAAAAAAACACACATTAAAATTACGTAACTAGGTCAAAAATTAATTAAAATTTTAAAAACTCATTAAAACTAATTAAAAACTCATTAAAATTACGTAACTAGATCACTGATTACGTCACAAGGTCACCGGTGGTGACCTACTGACCTACTGACCTACTCCCCATCCGCATCCCTGCGCATCCTCCCCATCCCCATCCGCATCCCCATCCCCATCCCCATCCGCATCCCCATCCGGAGTATTTTACTATATCTCGTTGTCCATCCACCCTGCGCCTGCGCCTGCGGCTGGAGTATTTTACTATATCTCGTTGTCCATCCCCATCCGAGTATTTTACTATATCTCATTGTCCATCCGGCGCCTGCGCATCCCCCTGCGCATCCGAGTATTTTGCTATATAACCTTTGCGTATCCTGGGTGCGCCTGCGCCTGCGCCTTCGCTCCAAAAGGGACCTAATATACTACTGTTATTAAAACGTTTTTTAATGTATTTGACAGTACTTTTCATGTTTTATTTACAATAGTTACAAGACTAGAAACCATTGTCACGTTTATAGCTAAAGTTTCAGTAATGTATTATGGGATGGCGCAGTCTAGTTGTAAAGAACTAGACTGCTGACCCCGACTAAAAACCATCGCGCGCCTATGAACGTGATGGCGCGCTTTTGACGTAGAGCCCGCCCTCCCCCCCCCCCCCCCCCCCTCGCTCCACGCCCAACAGGACGCGCGTGGATAGAACTGCCTACTAATTCGGTCCAAATTTTAATTAATTCATAAAAAATTAATTAGGCGACCAATTAAGTCAAATTGAATGTCACGATGCATTGTCTTCATGTCTTGACCCACATACCAATTACGAACCGTATCTGTTAGTTAGAAGTGCCTGAAATTTCACACGGCCGTTTCGATCTAGACAGACTGAACGACGAGGAAGTGAGTGTAATAAAAGCTTGGCAGGAGTGATCTACCCTAAACTCTCGTATTTTCTCACATAACAATGGTTGGGATGGCACTTTTGGTATAATCGGGCTCCAGAAATATGAATTATGAAATAGCAGTTAGTTTTTTTCCCGCAAAAACTATTGAGGGTAATACGTTCTTAAAATATGAGGCTTTCAAAAGTATGATACAAAATCATCACATTCTAGTAGTTTTTTGAGAAATCAGAAATAACGTAAAGTTTTACTCCGGTTATCGAAAATCTCTCAAAATTCGACAGAATCAAGAGAATAAAATCTATGTATTCAATTTCGTCCATCTACCTGAAACGGTACTCATGCTATCGGTATTTTAGAAACCGGAAATGGAGTCAATTAAAAGTAATCAAGCGTAACTTTTTATATCACGTGCTAACTTACTTGTAGAGGTCCCCGGATATTCCAAGTTTCTCTTTGATCATTTCCTTTAGCTGGTGTATGGTCATCCCGACCGGGACATCAAAGGTCAAACGCTGACCCCTGAACGAGCCAAAGGTCAACATGGCTGAAATTCCCTTCTATCACACACAGCAAGGACACATCACATAGATCAGTCCTTTATAGGAACATAGATCAGTCCCTTAGTGAACATAGATCAGTCCTTTGAAGGAACACAGAACACTCCCTTTTATGGACATAGGTCACTCTATTATATGTACGTAGATCATACACTTATATGAGCATATATCCGTTCCTTATTAGAACATAGATCCGTCCCTTATAAGAACTAAATCAGTAGCTTGAAATGTTAGTCCCTTATAAGAACACATTAACATTACACAATATGCCCTACCAGAAAGAACTAGTTGTGTAGTTTACATTGTAATAAAAGTTCCAAAGGAATCAGTCTTTCACAATATGTACTTATGATAAGGATTTGACGTAATGCTCTGGTTATGACGATCTACCTACTATATTGTCAATCCACTTAGAAAAACCCATATAAATATGAATTCAGTTGTGCGAATATTTGTTTTATCATTTTACTCCTGTGATATTTCAAAGCACCACAGATTTTAACATCTTGAAATGGAAATAGACACGGTGAATAATGGAAATTAACCCGAGTGGGAAAAAAACCAGCTTTTTTTTTTGTTATAAAAAATTCCAAGAAAATTATTTTACTTCTGTAATTTAAGAACCAACTTCATCCAACCAAATCACTCAATATTTGGTTTCATTATTCCTTTTTTTCTTCCTTTCAATTTCTCCGGCTCCACATTTTGTATGGCCACGGTTAAATATTCAAGTCACTTCCGGCAGAACCAAGTCCGCCTCGTGTTCCCAGAATCCTACCATTCATTATTCAAGGGAGCGAAGCGGGTCGAAGCGTACGCGGTTATCAATGGCGGATCCATTCTCTGATAGTAGAATTGTTGTTTTTTGTACGTTGTTCAAGCGCCGACACAGTAAACGTTTTACTGTGGAGAAAAAATAACATTCAATCAATATATTTTGTAGGCCACAATAGACGGGCAAAAGCTGCTGGTAAATAGATGAACGGAAGCTTATGTGAAAGTAGAAATAGTAAATAGATGAAAGAAAGTTAATATGAAAGTAGATCAAGTAAGTAGATGAAAGGAAGTTAACGTGAAAGTAGATAAAGTAAATAGATGAAAGGAAGCTTATGTGAAAGTATAATGAAAAAGTAAATAGATGATAGGAAGTTTATATGAAAATAGATAAATAGATGAAAGGAAGATTATGAGAAAGCAGTGAAAATAAATAGTTGAACGGAAGTTTAAATGAAAGTTGATAAAGTAAATAGATGAAAGAAATCGTATGAAAACAGAAAGTAGAATACGTTCCACTCCCGTTTACCGGAAATCGCTGAAAAGTTGATACAGAACTACAAATTTGATATAGTACTTATATATGAAATTTCATCAACCTAGCTATAACGGTATTCAAGTTATCGTGTTCACAGACATACACACATACAAACATACATACACGCACACACAGACATACGGACAAAATTGCAAAACTATGTTTTTCCGACTCAGGGATATGTAAAACGTCGAAATTTGTGAAAATCTCGATCTAGATTTTTTGCACGATTACAAGACTTACTCTATACTCCGTATATATGAGAAAGTAAAAACCTACATATTTTAATGAAAGTTAATGGCTTTATGACATAATGATCTTCGCGGCATTTTAATGTACGTCATAAATAACAAATATAATTTAAAGTGTGTTCAACTTTAAAATGTAGGCATGTTTACTGCACACAGTAGCAGGAATGTAGGCATGTTACCATGTAGGCCTACACAGTGAACTGTTTAATATGAAAGTAGGTTGCGACACATATAGATAATAAGTATGTTGAAACACATACCTATATAGTAGGTATGTTGAAAGACATTCTCAAAGTAAAGTAGACATTGCTCCATTTAATTAGTCATAGAAAAGTAAATATGGTTTCTTTTACATAGTCAAAGTAATGGCTACATATAGTCACAGTAAAGTAGATATGGCTACATATTTAGTCACAATAAATTAGATATGGCTACATATAAATAGTCATAATAAAGTAGATATGGCTTCATATACATAGTCATAATAAAGTAGATATGGCTTCATTTATATAGTTACAATAAAGTAGATATGGCTACATACATAGTCACAATACAGTAAATATGGCTTCATATAAATAGTCACAATAAAGTAGATATGGCTACAAATATATAGTCACAATAAATAAATATGGCTACATATAAATAGTCATAATAAAGTAGATATGGCTACATATATATAGTCACAATAAAGTAGATATGGCTAAATATTTAGTCACAATAATAAGTAATGGCTACATATGAATAGTATCAATAAAACAGATATGGTCCCATATACATAGATACGGTAAAGTATATATTTCTACGTATACATACAGCTATCTCATCGTACACAGTGAGAGGTGAAACTGCAGGTAAGTTACCATACACCCTCACCTGTAACCAAGGTGTAAACAATTCCCCGCGACTGAAGAGCCAGCCGACAAAAGACTTATTAATCCCTTTCACGTGATTAACCTCCGATCGTTAAGCTCTCGTGGCATAAGCCACTGACGCTGCCTTTAGCTTAATGAGCTAGTGTGTCTTCTGACTGGTGATATTAAACTGGCTCGTTGCTTTACGTTATTTAGCTCAGAGGCGTAGGCGGTTGGGGACGGGGGGAAGGGGAGTGTAGATCATATATATATATATATATATATATATATATATATATATATATATATATATATATATATATATATATATATATATATATATATATATATATATATATATATATATATATATATATAAGTATGTATGTAACGGCCTATTTATGAGAACACATTTTGACACCCCCCCCCCAATCCCCCAGCGGCGTTACTCCGTCTCTAGGTTGGGTGTCTCCTGGTACGGTTATTATGGAAGTCAACCCACACCCTCACTCAATTTTTTTATTGGTTTGGTGTCGTCGTCCCCACCCCCCCATTCTCTAATATTTTATGTTTTAATTTGTATCAAACATTGTTTGGATGGTAAAGTTTACAAGTTTTAAAATCTGATGTCACCCCCTTAAATAAAATAAAATCAATTACTTATTCCCCTCCTCTCATTTGTTAATATTAAATCTTATTTCGTTTCGCAGCTTTGATCAAAATACTTTTTAAATTGCTGTCTCACTAAGAGTGGAGAATGTCAAACGAACAATTGCGTTGGGAGGAATATAAAAAGAATTCACGGTTGGTAGGTGTCAGAAGAATTCACTCGGGTGTTGTGGTGGGGGGAGGGGGTATAGTGTGTGTGTGGGGGGGGGGATAGGTGGGAATTCACTTACAATTAAATGTATAGACCAATACATAATATATTCATGTTTTATTTAGACCTTCATAACATTAATTCAGAGTCCTCTAGCTAGCTAGTAAATAAAATATCGATCAACCGAAAAGGTATTAAAAAATAATGATCTAAAAAAAAAATTGCATTAATGTTATAAAAATAAAATAAAAAGCATACCGTCAATCAAATAGAGGGGTTTAAGACCAGTAGTGTATAAAGTAGAACCCAAGCATAACTGATGATTGACATTCCCTACTGGGTTGGACAAAATTATTGCTTTGTTCCTATTGGACAGCGACGCGGGGTTACGAAACCTCCGAACAAAAGTCTTATGTTTAGTTTCTTGCCTTCGGTCAATGGCCGTCGTACATTCGAATAGACACGTCTATATTACAGGCGACCTTTCCTGTCGTCTGTTAAAGTGGGGGTCAAGGAAGGTTGATTATAAAAAATGAAATAAAACGGAGATTTTGATTGGTTGAATGGGCGTCACGTGATAGTAACATTGAATTTCACCATAGTTGCAGCTCAACGCTGCCGTAGGGGAAAAAGGGACGAAAAGAACTTTTCCGTTAAAGGGTACCAAGTTTAACCAAAACATGACTAATTATTAATACATAGACACATAAGTAAATATTCCTCTTTAGACCTAGCGATTAATTGAGCAGATGAAGTAGAGTTCATATGTTTCTTGACCTCGGTTACGAAGGGATAACTTTCTCTAACGTGAGTTAGGTATCCATCAGAACTCGGTAGACTCAGGGTCGTTCCATTGAATTGAACCCGGATTCGAACTCGAGACTTTAGGATTAGCAGATTAGAGCTCTACAGCTAGGCCACGCCTTACCAATTGTGACTAATTATTAACACCAAAGATGACTGGTTATTAACCTAAAGGGTAATTTATTATAAATCTTAAAGGGTCGCTAATCATTAACCCAAAATTTCGACTTAGAACATGTCTCAAATAAAAAAAAATGTATCACCATAGCACTTTCATGCCTCCATACTCACCTGAACCCGCCCCCCCCCCCCCCCCGCCCCAACCCAGTTATACCTGACCCTTATCCCCCCATCCCCCCACCTTATAACACCTAAATCCCCATCTCACCTGACCCACCCGACACAACACCCCAACCCCCTCACCCAGCTGACCCCCACCCCTATCAACCCCCCACCCCCACCCCCACACCACCTGACCCATCCTCTCTAAGATTTCAAAGCACAACCATATAACCTGCATCAAAAAGCTTCATCTATCAAACGAGCCCCTTACATTAAAAATCTGATAACTTCCTTACCGTATAACAATCAATCGCAATCAATATCAGATATTAAACAATCAAGGGGATCAGCATTAGAACGTTAAACTGGAGAGTGGGGGTGTTATTAGGGTGGGGGTGTTATTATGGTAGGGATAGCCGATTTCACCTCCCCCATCCCCAGAAATTACTCACTAAAATATAGAATTTAAAAAAAATACACGTCCAACAATATCAAGAAAGAAGGGGAGGGGATGGAGGTACAAATGTGAATCAAGAAAGAGATCATAAAAGGGCGATAAGTCGCGCAGGAAATAAACGTTGTTAGTAAACAATTGCTTGTGTTTTTATTTTGTCACGGATAACTGAATAGGTGTTGGCTTGACGGTTGGTTTATTGCAGTTGTTGGGTGACCAATAATTCAGATTAGTTGGACGGCCAAGGTATACAGACGCCTTTGTCACATAGGTGCCCGCATTGGACGGCCAAGGTATTGAATGTATATGGACGACTTTGTCAACTGGACGGCCAAGCTATTGAATGTATACGAACGACTTTGTCACATAGCTGCCCGCTTTGGACGGCCAAGGTGTTGAATGGACGGCCAATTTACTGTATTGGTTGAATGGTCAGATTCAAATTTGTTGGACGGCCAAGCTATTGGAATAGATGTTAGACTTTGTGAATTCGGTACTCATTTTGGACGGCCAATTTATCAAATTGAACAACTGTCTTACCTATTGACTTTTATTGTGTTCAGCGTTTCTTTCATGCAGCACTCGGGAGAGTGGGGCATAAAAGAAACATACATTAAATAAAAAATATATACTTTAACCAGTCTCCAACCCAGAGGCGTAGCGACCCTTCCCGGCGCCCGGGGACAAACTTTCAATTCGGCGCCCCCCTCGGGAGCAAATTTTCAGTTTGCACTACCCCTCTCAAACTTTCGATTAGCGCCCCCCCCCCCCCCCCCTCAAACTTTCGATTTGCACCCCCCCCCCCCCCTCAAACTGTTTATATTGCAAAAATACAGCTAAAATGACATTTTAATTTGTTTTTACAACCCATTTTGGCGCCCCTTAAGGTCAGCGCCCGGGGTCATATGTATCCCCCTGCCCCCCATCACTACGCCTCTGCTCCAACCCCCCCCCCTCAGAGCGTTTCAAGTACCCTCCTGAAAGTTGTAACTACACAGGGAAAATGTCTGAAAGAAACCGCAGACGATTACTCATAACTAACTATGCCATATATATCCGCTACTTTAATATATCCAAACCTTAAGGACGACACCGGCCTTATACTAATGTGTTTAGTTTTTATAATTTG